CATTAGCGCCACCTGCCTGTAGGCAGTGTGGTTTGTCATGCTTGGAAGGTTACTGTTGATGAAACGTGGCTGCAAAAGCATTCTATTGTACATTACAGAGAGAAAAGCAAACTCTGCCAATAGTTCTGCAGCTTCAAATGCAGGCTTTTGCGGTCACAGTGAATGCCTACGTCTATCTTTTCAACAGCCTATTTAATCCATCACAGATTTAGTGATGGTAATTACATAAACAGACCAGACGGGGCATTCCCGTCATAATATTTTTCGGCCCTTACTGATTTATGTAGATATAAATTAAATTATACAGTGCGATAAATGTATGAATCTCTTTTAATTAGCTTATTTATTTATCTGCCTTTGTAATAACTACCTTATTTATTTATTGTCCATTATAATCTTCAACTTTATTTATTACTTATTTTTTAAGTATTTATTTATGCGCATGTCATAATATTTTTGTCTGTTTTATTCTTCCTTTGTATTTATTTACCCTATTTATATGTTCAATTTTCTTTATTTCTGCCTCATTATGCAAAGAGGAGGGTTTTGTCTTAGAGAGTTAACTTCTGCCCAATGGTTGGTGGTCCATCTTCTTAAAGGGGAACGCCGTTTTTTTTTTTTTTTTATTGGGCCCTTGATTTTACGTTATTCCATCATGCTCTACTCACCCATATTAGTTTTGTGTCATTTTGAGCCATCCTGAAGATATTCCGTTAGGTTATATCCAAGTAACATCTTTCTATGGGCAATGACTTGGAGGCACAAACTAAACTGTTCATCATTTATTCTTTATGGTACGCCAGCATTCATAACATGTAGGCGAATCACTGTCCCCCAGACATCCACGGTTATATTTTTTATATTTATATTTTTATAAAACAAAGCGGAGTGTGTATGACGTCATCAGCGGGCCGGACTGGAGTTGTGACAGGCATCCCGGGCCGCCCACTGTATGAGAGTGTCATGATCGATTAAAGAGATCTGACCCACATGCAGAGAACCACTCAGAGAGCCAGAGGAAAAGTTTAACAGGTTTATTGAGGAGACAGTACAGGAGTTGAATCTGGAACTCAAACAACAGGTGAACCGGAACTGCAAAGTCTGGAGAGGAGATCACAGTGATCAGTTCATGGGCCGTCGGAAAAAACTGATTGAGCCTTGAGCACAGTGGGGGCGGGACTCACGTTTGAGGGGGTTCTTGTTTTTCCTTGATCCAGTTGGTGTGGGTTTATCCATAGAAGAGGGAACTCATGGGAGAGCGGACAGGTAGACATTCGTTGGACCCTGAGGAGCAATGGAGTGGACTGTCACTTGGATTTCTGAAAGGGACTTGAACGGAACGTGTGGATGTTTTCCCCTGCTCAGTGTGAACTTGGTTAATCCTTCCAGGGGGAGAAGGCCAGGTATCCAGTTACACAGGAAGGCTTCCTGCCAAAAAGGCAAAGACAAAAAAAAGTTAGACTCAGAGAAACAAAGGCTCAGATTAGACTCAGCTAAACTCAGCTTGGCTAGAGTACCCAAAACTGGCAAACACTCTTGCATCGAGGTAGTGATAATACTCTTCAGTGATGAACCAACGAGCCACAGGTGTGCAGGAAGGCCAACGAGAACAGGGCATCACCTGGTGGTGGAGGGAGAGAAAAACACAAAATTACCCACACAAACTGGATTCCTGACAGTGAGGACAGACAGAGGGGTGTGTCTGATAGCTTGGTCTGCAAACCTCCTGGAAACTGTAGATCACCATCAATGCTCCAAACATTTTGGTCTGTGAAATATTCTGTTTTCTTGTACAAAAATAAAAGAGAACAATTAGTATGATTATAAATGATCTTAATGCACCTGCATCTGTTAGATTCAGTTCCTTTTTTCATAACTGTATAATTTTCTTTGTTTATTTCACATAGTAGCACAATTTCGATCTCACCTTGTCCCTTGGCTTATATGCTTTATAGTTGTTTGGTTTCTAATTGCAGGCATGTTTCCAAAGAAAGGGAGAAATAAAAGGTTATTATTGAATATTCAAGTTAAATTCTATCCCTGGAAGTAATGCTTTTAAATTGCTTTTACATGTTGTTTTTGTCAAGGGCAATAGATTTAAAAAGCCAAGGATGTAATTGAGATGACATAGGTTCCATGTCCTCAGCTCCCCTTTACACTCTCATTAGATTTTGTTAATTAAGTTTGGGGTTTTCTTTTTTCTAAAGCTGCATAAAGCCTTATTTTATTTTTTTTATATAATTTCTAATGAATACAAAACAGTAAGAAAGCTACCATAACAACATTTTCTCTGAAAACTACCAAATTGCTATTGCAAATCAAACCAGATGTTTAAATAAAACGCACGGGAACACTCAATGGCAATGTAACAGTTTTTTATTCCAACATACAAGACATTTTTTTAAAAGATAAAACATTAAATAAAGATAAGTCAAGAGCAATACCATAAACCAGAGATTTTTTTCTTTAAAATCAGAAATTTTAAAGAAAAAAGTTTTGAACTCTTTCTTGAACGAACTTTGTACAGTGAAATATACAGTTGTGCTTTAAAGTTTACAAATATGTTTGCCATTGCAAACTGAAAAAAGTTGTAAATAAAAATTTACTAAATGGTAATTCATTAAAATACATGATTTATTTTGAATTATCATTTGATAAAATATTTCTAAAATTTATAAGTTAAATATGGAAATCTTATTTATATTTATATATATATATATATATATATATATATATATATATATATATATATATATA